AAAAGAACCAATAGCTGAGACGTAAGAAACTTTACTCTTGTGGTCTCGTTCCTCATCTGACTTGGGTGACTGATTTCTGTTGAATCTGAAGTGGCTGCCCAAAGATGTGCCAACTGGCTTGACTTTATCCATGTTGAACTTATTGAGTACCTTTTTCACATACTCTGTCTATGAGAATTTCAACGTGCCTCTGACTCTATCTCTGATAATCTTCATGCTAAAATTTGCTTTGCAGCTCCCAAAGCCTTCTTTGCAAGTTGCTCTGACATTTGCTTCTTTAGATTATTGATCTCATCAATATTGGCCATGCAATAAACATGTCATCCACGTACAACAGTTGAATAATATAAAAATTGTCAAAATACCTGATATAACAACAGTGATCCGTCTGATTTCTAGTGTACCCAACATTTTGCATGAAATTATCAAATTTCTCATTCCGTTGTCTAGGAGTTTATTTCAGTCTATACAATTTCTTCTGTAGTCTGCAAACTGAATCTTTCTTTGCCTGTACTACAAACCATTCAGGCTGGTGCATGTAGATGTCTTGTTCAAGGTCTCGATGAAGAAAGACAGTCTTCATATCTAGTTGCTCAAGAAATAAATTTTTGGTAGCAACCATAGATAGTATTATTCTGATGATTGTGAGCTTCACCACAGAAGAAATATCTCAGGGTAATCAATGCCCTGCTTCTGCTGAAACCTTTTTACAACAAGTCTAATTTTGTACCTCTTACTCCCATCATGTTTAGTTTCCACCCGATACACCCGCTTATTGTGTAATGCATTCTTCCTTGGTAGAAGTTTCTATCAGTTCCCACATCTGATTTTTTAGCTGAGAATCCATCTCTTCTTTCATGGCCAGTTCCCACTTGCTAGAATTTTCATCTTACAGGGTTTCTTCATAATTTTATGATTCTCCACCATCTGTTAACATAATGTAGTTCAAGCTTGGTAAGAAACGCTGAGGAGATTGTTTTGTTTTAACTAATCTATGAACTGTAATTGTAGGGGTGGACGACTCTAACACTGACTATGAAATAATAGGAATGGGTGCATTGGACTCACTCTTCTCATCACTTACATCTATGTCATGCATTGTGACCTCTAGTAGGTCATTAAATCTTACCAACTCGGATTCCTGAGAAGCTATTTTAGAAGCTGTACTAGCCTTGTCCTTGTATATAATATTTTCATTAAAAATCACATTTCTGCTTCTTATGATCTTCTGTCCCTAATCATCTTAAAAATGATAGTAAAATGCCTCATTTCCATAGCCGGTGAAATTAAATTTTTTTTGACTTAGCCTCAAGTTTATTACGAGCATCAGGATTAATAAGAATAGAGGAAAGACAACAAAAAATTTTAAGATTAGAAAATTTGATCACTTTCCCGCTCCAGACTTTCTCAGACAATTAACAATCTAACCCCTATTGATCAAGTAAACTGTAGTGCTGACCGCATCTGCCTAGAAAGTTGGTGGTAGTCTAACATGCAATCACATCTTTCTAGCACGTTCATTTATAATCATGTTCATATGTTCTGCAACTCCATTTTGTTGTGGTGTCCTAGGAATGTTCTTCTCCATTATGATACCCTAAGTTGCATAGTACTCCTTGAACCCACCATTAATATACTCACCATCATATTAGACCTCAGACATTTCAGTTTTAAGTCTGTCCCTCTCTCAACCATGACTTTCCAAGTTTTGAACACATGAAATACATCAGGTTTATGTTTCAAGAAATAAACCCATATCTTCTTCTGTGGTCATCAATGAATGTGACAGTAATGAGAACCTTCAAGAGATGCTACTGGAGAAGATCCCCACGCATCTGTTTGTACAAGTTCTAATTTTTCTGTCTTGGCGCTCTGCCACCTTTCAAAAAATCGGTCTTCTATTTCTCCATAATGCAACTTTCACACATGCTTTTGATAGCTTGCCGCTAAATTGAATTTCTTTCATACCTCTCTGACTCATATGACCAAGTCTGCAATGCCACAAATCTGCTATGCTTTGTGCACCGGTATTATCAACATTGTTAATTAAGCAGTAGTCATATATAGTATACCGATTTTCTTATCACTAGCCAGTACCGTCTTTTTTGTGACTTTCCATGTGTTATCTGAGAACACTACTGAATGACCACACTCATCGAGCTTCGCAACAAAAATGAGGTTTTTCTTCAACTCAGAAATGTGTCTGGCCTTAAGTTCATTAACTATTTTTAGGGAGTTCAATGTCAACGTCTCTCATCCCCACCACGTTCAAAGGTTCTCTATCAGCCAGATACACCTTCCCAAAGTCACTTGCAACATAATCACAGATTAACTCCCTGTGGGAAGATGTATGGAAGGAATTCCCTGAATACAGTGCCCAGTAATCAACAGAACTATGAACTGCGACAATAGTGCATTTTTTACTTCTTCAGGTATAACGTCAGTACTGACATTCTCTGTCTTAAGATATTTGCAGTTCTTTTTTATGTGGTTAATTTTGCTACAATTCCAGCAGATTGTTTGTTGACCAGGACTTAACTTGCTCTTGCCTCTGTGTTTTGATTTTGATTTTCCTCTATTTGAGTTCTTGTCTACCGATCTCTCTCGAAAATCAATATTCAGTGTTGAACTCAACCTAAGATTTTTCCAGAATCTTTGTTACGCACCTCCTCAGCTAAAATAATATCACGAATATCATAATATTTTAGCTTAGATTTACCGGCAAAATTGCTAACAACCATTCTCTTGTCTTTCCACTTATTTGACAATGAAGCCAACAATATCAATGCACGTATCTTATCATTAAATTCAATTTTAACAGATGATTATTGATTTATGATAGTATTAAAATCATTCAGATGTTGTGCAATAGACATACCATCCGCCATCTTTAAATTGTATAACTTTTTCATCAAGTATACTTTGTTATTCGCTGACTGCTTTACATACATACCTGACAGAGCTGTCATGAGATCTGCAGTTATTTCCTTAATGACTTTGTGTGCAACGGATTTTGACAAAGTTAATCGAATAACTCTCAGAACTTGTCGATTCAACAGATTTCATTCAGCCTCATCCATCTTTTTCGGTCTCTTTCCCAATAACGTTAGATGAAGTTTCTTCACATAGAAATAGTCTTCTATCTGTATCATCCAGTAATCAAAATCTGTGCTATCAAACTTTTCGATCCCCGATACCTTCACTTTGTCTCTGGCCATCTTTTTCCCTTAGATCCGAACCACGACTCTGATACCAATTGTTGTGAAAAACGATTGATGATAATATAAAATTAGAAAAACACACAATACACACAAATACACGTGGTTCGACAAATTGCCTACGATCACGGAGTTTCAGAAGATTTTAAGACTGGCCGGATTACACTATTTCTCAACAGAATTACAAGAACTCGATTCAACTTACTCTCTCTATTCCCTCATATCTGCTGCCCGCAAATCCTTCTGCCCGGAACTGCTTCTGCCGTCGCCCGTAGCCTAACTCTCGCGGCTACAAGCCTCTTGCGATTTTGAGCGGAGAAGGAGAAGACTCGAACAGGTCGAGGCTGCCTAACCCCAAAAATTCTTTCGCAATTTCTGGTTGCTCGCCAATCCTTTCTGCTAAGTTCGGTCACCAAAGATGATCTTGTTTTATCGTGAATTAGAGGGCGGGATCTCTAAGAGGAAATAGCACAGGTGAAGCTTTACAAAGGAAAGAACTTAATGAAAGAAAAAATTCGAATAACTTTCGTAAGTGCCGAAACCGCCAATTCAAGGAAGTGAACCGGCCTGCACAATACTCAACAACTTCAGTTTAAAATGTCATATGAGAGAGAAAGATAGGGCCCTTCTTAGGGTGGTCGACCGAGGCCCTGGTAACTTGGTGAGGTGCCTGAGGGTGAGTGATAAGTGATGGAAGGTTAGGAATGAGTGGGTGATGTCTAAGAGATAAGTGGATGCTGTCTAAGGACGCATGGAGGGCCAAAACCTGAACCCCGCCTTGTCTGGTTTTGAAATATCATGGATGTGGGAAGAGGGTGTACAAGGGAGGGAAAGACTTTGGAGGACTGTCAATGTGTGAAGTGTCCTAAACTTTAGATTCTTGTAGAAGCTGAACTCCTAATATGAGGTTTATGAAGAATCAGTTGGCTCACCGATCCTTCTTTGGCTTCCAGTCTTTTGCATGGCCTGTAGAGGCTTGGGGAAGGTGTAGATGACCTTGTAGAAGGAGGAAAATGAGAAATGGATGAGGTAGATAGGGAGGGAGAATACAAGTAGCTTATCCATAAATGGTAAGCCCCCAGTTAGTCCACCAAGCCAAAAGATAAGGACAACTCGCCGAATTATTTGAATGCATGAATAGCTTCTTCATTCCAGAATTCAATAGTATTTAAAGACCTTACAATGTTCTTCTCATGCCAAAAATCACAATTGGGAAGATGGAGAGAGAGTTGAGGCGGATTTTACAAGGTTCCATTGATTGGAGGAGTGACCAGCCATTCAATTAAGGCGAAAGGGATAACATTACGTTCTATATCACTCCTAATTCAAAATACAACAAATGTAATTCAATTTGACAAATTTTCAAATGCATTTACTTTTGAATATCTATAAATTGAAGCCAGTTACAATTAAATTGAAAAATTAAAATGTTTTCATGTAGGCTGTCTTGGATTCGATGGGTTTTGCTTTTGCTGTTGAAGGTGGGTCTTCTCTTTTCCCATGAAATTTTTCTTACACCTTCATGATAGTCCTGATTTGTTTCATCACAACTGGAAGGCTTTAACCCATAAAATGCCCAAGTGCAAAATTGTGAATAGTTTTTTTTTTTTTTTTTTCTGCATGAAGATATGATTTTCTGTTGTGGATGGAAGACTCACGTGAACGCTTTATTGAAAGGAACATATAACTTTTAATGTTTGCTTTGTATTAATTTAATTCACCATATAGTTTAGTTTGACTAATTTTTTTCCTTGAATGCTTGATCTTCCAATGGCTTCATAGATGTCGTAGCTGGAGCTCCTGGTCAAGAAGCTCAAGTTTTTATGCCACGTGAAGAGCATGCTAGAATACAAGCTATAAAGGATACCAGAACACTAGGAACTTCATATGACCATTATCTTCAGAATCCCGTATTCAGTCCTCTTGAAACTTCCTTATTGCTCTTCTGTTTTGAATGCTCTATTTTTGAATTTAGATTGTCTAACTTCCCAACTTGTGCAGCAACAGTTGTCATCTTATGGCTCTGCTCAAGCTGGTGATGCAGGTGTGAGTAGATCTGTTGGTGGGGAAGTTTATGGGTTCAGAGGAGGAAATGCAAGCCTTTCTTACCAAGAGCCTGTCATGTTGACTGGTCCTGGTTTTAGGTCATTGGGACCACAAGAGGTGGCAAATGGTAGTTTTCCTATGGGTTTTCGCAGTCAAGTACCTATTGATCCTATGGCTAGGCCACTGCATCCTGAAAGAGAGATCCCCCTACCAGATGATGCTTCAAATACTTTGTTTGTTGAAGGGCTTCCCCGTGATACAACGGAGCGGGAAATAGCACGTATCCATGAGATTTTTTTTCTTAATCTAATCTGATGAGCATATTTTGGCAGATTTGTTTCCTTGATTGTCTTTAAGATATATTTCGCCCTTTTCGGGGATACAAGGAAGTTCGGGTAGTGAAGAAAGAACCTAAATATGTATGCTATCTACATGGAGCTCTTTCTGAATCAAGTAAATTACTGTTTTAGACTTTCATGAACGAATTTGATACTTGGCAGGATGGTGCAAACCCTATTATTCTCTGTTTTGTGGATTTCACTACTCCATCCTATGCCATGGCTGCTATGAGTGCTGTGGAAGGTTATCTTTTTGCTTAATTCTTGAAATTTTCTGGTACATTAAAGGCTTTATTTAGTATCTCATTAAGTTGCTCTCTCTCTCTCTCTCTCTCTTTCTATCTTTCGCTTGAGATATAAATCAGTAACTGTGGATATGTTTACAAATTTGTGATTTTTGAAATGAGTAGGATACAAGATGGACCTTCATGACCCAGATTCATGGGCTCTGCGTCTGCAGTTCGCAAAGTTCCCTGCTCGTAGAGCTGGCCATGGTTCTCATGGCAGGAGATAGATAAGATCAGTCTTTTGTTACGAAAACCCTTTCTGACTGTTCTTAAATCAGCTTTTTTTAACCTTTAAAATTGATGAGCCGAACAGAGTGCCTGCTTCTACGGGATATTTTAGCAGTTCGTAACCTTTAGCTGCTTGAAAGCGTAATTGACCTTTTTTATTCTGGTGATTAACTTCCTATGTTTTAATTTAATTTGTAAGCTGAATTCTTATATTTGATGATTTGATTGCAACTTCCTTGCTAAATTATGTCGAGTCACAATTATCGCTGACTTTCTACTCTGCAAACTGTAATTGGATCTGCGAACATCATATGAAGATGAACTAATCGCATGTTGGTAGAAGCTTTGGCTAACGTAATGAACAATATCCTCCTATTTTTTGAGCCTTGTAGCAATTAGAAGGTTACTATGCTGGAGAGGAGTTTGGGGGAAAAGACGAGGGGAAGACGGGGCAATAGGAGGTAGCTTGCACGATGATCTTTTTAAAAGTCGGCTCCTTTATTTTTATTTTGATAAATTAAACGAATAGAAAATAATGAATTGTGGCGACGCATTCCGATTAGGTGGCAATGCTGTAGAATGGCATTGTTTTTAATTTGCTGTATATATATTCATTTGTATGTGAAATGTTGTGATTTTTTGGTAGATATATAAATTAAGATTTGATTTTTTTTATTCCAAAGGAACTCTAAATCTAATTTTTAATCTTCCATCAAATGTCAAATAAAATTCATCTAAAAATTACTTGATTAAATAAATTTTACTTATTTTTCAAGCTAGAACTATTGGAATTATAGTATAAATAAAACTATAATTATAGTCTAAAAAACAATATAGTATGTGTATTTTTACATTAAAAATGTGTGGTTGATCGTGAGATTGAAGAAATAAAGTATGGGGACAAAAAATGAAACAAATAGGCCTTCGAGCCAATTACGACAGTAAAGCTGACCAAATGCATTTGGTTATATGCTAGCAATTTCGATCCAAAGAGAGATCCAATTCTTATTTAACACCAACCATACAACAAACGTCCCCGGGACACCTCGTCAAGGATAAAAAATCAATAAGAGAACAAAATGCCTTAGTCATCATCTAGGATCTTTTGTTGAGGAGAAAGTTACTTATTAGATTACGGTTATTCATCATTTATCCGATTAACTAGCTTCATTCTCTCGACAAGTATTTCTCACCAGGGATCGTTGGTCGCCAGTCAAACAAGATCAGTCGATCGGCTGTGCCGACCAAACCTACCCGACCAAAGCAACCCCACTAGCTGAACACCTATCAAGATCAACCAACCAAGTCATAGAGTAGCTATGTGATAGTCTCATATAGGTTAAGGACCTAGAATATCCTGTACAACCCTTATTAAACTAGGGTTAGAAGTGTAACATAACCATAATGTTCTATCTCATATTTATAAATAGGGAGATCATTTTTGGCTTCGATAAGAGATTATTATTCATTAGTGTGCGATGTTCTCTCTCTCTCTCTCTATCTCTTTCTCCTTTCTTACGATCTATTCCTTTGAGGCTTGATTCACAGAAAAATTAACCTTCAATTACCTAAAACATGTGGTGAGCGAGAAACATGCCACAAAAAAAAGAAGAGCAACACATAGTTGACCTCACTTTTGGTTGAGGTTTTGGTTGAGGTCTTGTCTTTCTTCTTTAGTAGCCTAGGGTTTAGCCATAGGACTCTTGTCTTTCTTCTTTAGTAGCCTAGAGTTTAGCCATAGGACTTTCATGTTGATTATTCCCATAGGATTAGAAAAGGAATCCTCACCATTAGTAATTTTAAACTGTTATTTGCTCAACTGGAAGTTTCACATATTGGTCCTAACCTCTAACACTCATTAGGTGGGGTCAATATGGGGGAGCTCAAGGAGAGTCCCCATAGGACTGTTTAGCCTTAGAGTTAACCCTCTGGTGGTGTGGTCTTGGTTGGTCTCACACACACACTTGCTCATTACACTTTCACTCACTACCCTAAGCCCAAACATGCTTAACTTTGATCCTTTAACCCTTTGGCAGACCCATATAGATGGTCCCCTAGACCTACTAGCACTTCGCTAGGGTGTAGCTAAGACCAGTACATGGAAGACCCAAAGTAGGAAATTCTACTGGTCCATGGCTCATGTAGGGTGATTGACACCCCAATTTTATCAAAATACCGAACTTAGTTTTTTGCCCCCAAATTACCAAATTACTCTTGAAACCCTAAACTTGACCAAAATTTCCAAAATTACTCAAAATACCTAAATTTGTTCAAAAATCAACTCAAACAATTTGAAACCACCCAAATTGTCCAAAACTCCCCAAAATTTTCAAAATTACCAAAAAACCCCTCATTTTGCCAAAATTATCAAAATCCCTTTGGTGACCCAAATTATCCCAAAACCTTCAAAATCATTTCAAATGTCCCTAAAATCAATTTGAATCACTCCATTGAGCTCAATTTGACCAATTTGACCTATTTTGACCAAAAGCCCCCCAATGTCCACCAATTTGATCCCAACTTTTCCCAATTTCAATTCTAAACTCAAATTCCTCATGTTCATGCTTGATTGAAACAAAATCTAAGCCCAATTGACCCACATTTGAATCCATTTTCAACCCAAGTCAAAAAGCCCCAATTTGACCCCAAGCCGAAATCTCACTCAATTGAACCCCCAAATCTATCCAATTGCCCCAATTTTACATTATAAACTCTTCAAAACATTTCTCAATATCAAATTGAACCTTCAATTGGTCGTGGTCAAGCCTCAATTTCACTCAAATTCAATTTGGACCAAAACACCCAATTTTGCCCCAAATTAGCCATGTCCCCAAATTCCACCAAATTGAACTCCATAACCCAAAAATTTCCACTCAATTAATATACAAAACAATATACAAAACTCTTCAAATTAATATACAAAACTCTTCATGACAATTATTAGGAAAAATTTGAACCATTAAGTGGGCCCTAGCCAAACTCTAGCTCAACTCAAACCCAAGTCTAACCTAACACCCCCAAAATTGATCATGAACCAAAGTCTTTCAAATTGAACCTCCAAATCAATTCAAAATCACTCCAAATTTTTTCTAAACTCCTTGTGACAATCATCTACACCATTTTGATCAATCAATTGAGTTCAATGTCATGACTAGCCCAACCTAAACCCAACGTCAAGCCAAATTGCCCAAAATTATACCCATGTACCAAAGTTGACCAAACCAAGCCAAATTGATCAAACCAAAGCCACTACAGCCACCATTTGGACTCTAGTAACCAGTCTCTAATGACCAGGCTAGACCAACCTAGTCCACACTACATGAACTATGGACCAATGGACCCTTGATTTAAGGGATCTCATCCCATTTATGGCCTAAACCAAAATATCTTGGCCATCATCACTTGCCATTAAGAATTAACCATCATTAGCCATCCTCTGGCCTCCTTGAGCCTAGAAGTGACCTAACACTGGCTAGCAACCACCTCAGCCTCCAGAAACAACCAACCCAAGAGAGCCCCAAGTGGCCAAAACCCAAAATTAAACCTCTCTGAGTTGGCTAAGTCCAATTGGCCATTAGAGCTTTTCTTCCCTCCACCTTAGCAAGCTTTTATACCCATTGCCAAGCCCTGAGCTTCACCAGGCAGCCATGGCTATAAATTGACCCCTTTACGGACAAAGGGGAGAGTGCTTGAAACCTAGGGGAAACTCTGCCAAAATCTCACCAGAGCTTATCTAAACCTTCCTAAGTGCAATCCCACTATTCAGAGCCAATTTCCCCACTGAATTCTCAACCGAAACCATGACATTATCATCCACACCACCAAAGTCCACCAAAATTCAATTAATTGTGCACACACCATCCCCAAAGTGAGAGTTGATTCCCCATAAAAGCCCCATCACATAGAGCTTCTAACCTAGCTCTAGACCAACACCTGAAATCGGCCTTGGTCGAGATCATACCTAGATAATTTACTATTGCCTAGGAACTCATCTAAAGGTTTGTTGGACTCCTCTGAAGCTTCTCCAAACATTTGATTGAGGCCACCCCTCTCAGACAAAAGTATTGAACTCTCTCCTCAAATTGAGCTTAATTTGATTCTCTATACGTATATACTGCATTTCATGCTTGATCAACCATATAGATAGGTTCGTCTTGAGCAGATGAAGGTATAGGAACAAACCCCATGTGATTTGGCTGTGTCTAGCTTGAGATCTTAAGGTTTTAGTGTGGATGGCTTACGGGTTAGGTCAGTTGGGGACAATGAAAGGATGCCGTTCGATCACTCTTGTATCGTTTGAATCACTGAAATTGCATTGGACGAAGGAATGCAACATGAATAACGGGCTGACGAGGGGGCTACGTGGCTGGAGGCGTCAAATTAGAGAGCGCCTCGTGTAAAGCTCGACGCGTCGTAGGTTGCGCTGGCGCTAACTGGGTTAAGTACAAAAATCTGTATTTTCTAAATTATTTTAATGCGTGATCTTAGAAAATCCAAATTTTTACATAGAAAAGTCATAATAATAAATTAAAAATACCCTTTTTCTCAATGAATAGAGGGAAATTATGTGGACCGAAAATGAAAATTATTTGTTGACTCTCTAATTTTTAATTGATTAAATACTTATATGATTAAATATTGCTCACCATTGCTTAAGATTTTTAGGGTTTATTCATCATGGCAGTGGAGATATTATTTGATTTTTCCAAGGTCAAAGAACATCCCTATGTTTTTAACCCTAATTTTCAAGCTTGGATGGCTATTTTAGCTTAAATTAATTATATAAATTAAAATATCAATTGGAAAATTATGGGATAAATTTTAGTATTTCTTGTGGTCGAAGAGGCTTAGGAAAAATATCATGATGGTCTGAATAATTTTGTATATTTTTATAGTTAATTAAATGTTTATAACTTGTATTAATTTATTTAAATTAAATATTAATTACGAATTAATAAAATCATTTCCAAATTGTGTAGAAAAATCATGTTGACTTACTGTAAAAATTTAAAAATTATTTGATTAAGTTTGAGCACTAATGTTGATTGTATGAGAAAAATTATATTTTTGTACAAAAATAATTATATTAAATTAAATACACTTAGGAAAATTATGAAAAGTGATTTTCTAAGTTCTTTATGATCAGAGGCACTTAAGAAAAAAAAATAATATAAGAAAAAACTTCATTTTTAACTATATTTTAAATTAAAAATAATTAAAATTAATTAAAAATTCCAAAAACACAAAAATATTTAAAAATGTGTCTAATTGTTTCTTGTTCACTCACGACTCATTAAAATATTTTTCCCAATTTTTCTAAGCTAAAAACAATTTTTTTAAAGGCCTAAAATATATTTTTCTTTTCTTCCATTAAAATAATTATAATA